TCTCTGTTTGACTTTAATACTACTCCTACTGTTTGTCTGTTTTTTTCATTAAATAAAAACTGAACCTTAAAGCAGAGTACAGTGATTCTGTGCTGTCTTTCTGACGAGCAACATAACATATATCAGGTGCACACAGACCAGAGATATACACTAGAAGTAAAACCACCTCTTAGATAATATATATGTAGTTTTACAAATATGAGTCCTTTCAAGGTTTACACTGGGTTTGTCTACGCTGACATGCAGATGATGAGAAATGCTCTCTGCCACACACTGAAGGGCACAGTGAGTAGCAATCTTATTTACATACCCTAGACAACTGACAAAGTGTGCCGTTAATAATAATCATATAGTGGGAGATATGAAAGAGATGAATGGGGTTTGTTCTCAGCTGCTCCCTCGAGCAACCTGCGGAGCCCAAGATGTGGATCTTTGATTAAAGCACAGCGAGCCTGAAAGTTGAGAGGTTCCCCGCTGCGAAGATTAAGTTGTGCGAGAGGTGAAGCTGTAGATTACATGTCAGCCATATTAAAGACAGAGTGTACACACACAGGGAAAATATAACAAACACCTTATGGAAAAACTGAAGTGTCGGATTAACAACAGTGCAGTTTAGATTTACTTTGTTAATCTTGCAAATAATAGAACAAGAAAACCGGAGGGGAACTAATGATTATTTTTATAATCTCTTCATCTACTACTCTTTTTGTTGATTAATAATCAATATAACATCTAATCCTGCAGCTGCAAAAAAAAATTAAAAACATTGAGTTTCCAAGGACATCTTGAAGAGGCTTGTGTGAGCAAATGCCCAAAAACAAAAGAAATAATTGACGAATATTTCTGATTAAAATTGCCGCTGATGATAATTCAGTTGTGTTAGCCAAATAGAAATTTGTAATCAAAAGCAAAGAAAACATTAGGAATCACATACAGTGCTAGGCTATGTGGTGAACCAATGGAAGATTGACTTATGCTGGAATCAGTTGCATTTTTTTTTGTCTTCTAATGGTTATCCAGTCTTTAAAATACAGAATATAAAGCTGCTAGCATGCAAAAACACAAATGTTTTACAAGTTTACCCACTTGTCATTCTTTTACAGCTCTCTCAGTTGGTGGAAGTCAAAACACTCATCGGTTGCATGGCTGGTTCATTGTTTTGTATCACACTTGTTGTTTTGAATGGTGTATTATGTCAAGTTATGTCAGCTAGAAACTTAAAAAAGTTAAATATCATGAGGGAGCAAACACTAATCCGTTGCAGCATTATCAGCCTATTCTTAATACTGTGTGGGTTCCATTCATGTCCTGACTTCTCTGTGGTGTCTCACAGTGGGAACTCAGTAGATCTGTTGGGCCCTGGGGGTGGCAGAGTGGGGCACCAGCCCATCAGGCTTGTTCAGGAACATGGGGTCTGGTCAGTTTGTAGAATGGATCAATACCTGTCATGTAGCATATGACCAGTTTTGTCCATTGACAGGTAAGGTATATATAATCAGATACTGAGATATGATATGATATGAGAAACTGAGTGCTTCTGGTGAGGTAATCAGGGGCTTCCAAAGTGATAACCTTGCTAATTGCATTTCCGAGTGTGAGCACTTGCTCTGTTGTTTATCTAAAGGAAATTAGAAGATAATTATATTTGTAAGACCTGCTTGGACTTGCTCTGCCTCGTGTCTCTCCAGCTCTGCCTCTCTCATTCTGCTCCTCTCTGCAAACAATACATTATTAATGCTGGAAAGCAGGCCTCTCCAAACAAATCACATACTCTAGCATCAGACACAACATTATTCATTTGATGTCAGCCACTTGTCAGGATGATTTGATTAAAAGTCTGGATTATGAATTCAGCATCTGCTGTCACTTCCCCGTGTGGGCCTCGTGGTTTTAAGTTCTCCATCTTGTGTAGTGTCCATTTGCTACAGCAAATTTAATAACCCTTGTTGAAGAAATATATTAGAGGCCATGACTGATAACCACGAACCACTTAAGGTTCTCCCCAGAGCACATCATTATTTCATCATACATTTTGAAACCAACGCTGAACTTGAGAGTTTAAAATACGTAATCATGGAAGAAACGCTTTTATGTGAAAAAGCAAAAGCTAAGAGCTCCCTGCTCACGTAACTGTGTGACACTGTTTCCAAATTAGCCCAGACATACTGTAACCTTTTTGCGCGTGGCTCTTACTGATTCCCCTGCAGTAAGCTATTAGCTATAGTTCAATAAATCGGCAAAACCAGATTTTCATTAGAGTGTTGAAATAATGACTTATTATGCTCATTTTTAGCTCCACAATTTCAGCCATAATATTTTGCTGTGCCTCGGTACTGCCCTCCTGTTTATCAAATGTCTGCAATAAGACGTTTTAGGTCTGTTCCCCCTCCCCTTATGCCAACTTTATTCTGATTGCCACTATAAAACAGAAGGTTTGAACAGCAGGTGGGTGGACCTGTGTTCATAACCAGTCTGCATGTGATGACAGTATTAAGGATATCTGCTTTCACTGATATCATACAGGGCCAAGAGTAGGAGCAGTCTAAAGCTTGAGCTTTTTCACATGGATTACATGTTATTGAAATTTTGGCTGTGTTGCTATGATCATCCACAACAGTAACTGTAGATTATGGAGTAAAAAAGGAAAAGTTAATATCTCAGCTTTAATGAAACATGTAACTGTTCATGCTGAGTACCCGAGAAAGATTTGTCAACATGATTTTTGGTAACAAAATGCTGCTGAATCACCAGCACAATTTATTTTTTGTCCTAGAGAATCTCATACATTTTAAAAGAACTTCTACACATAAACACATATTTAGGTCTCCTATTGTCATCAGATGCAAGGTCCTAAATTGTGAACGTTGGGGTTTCGCAATGTTAGAGTTTCACCTTATTATCATTGTGACTAAGACATCTCCTATGATAATATTTCCAAATCTGTATCTGTACCAAATTACCCAAAACAGGCCATTATTTACAGAATTGTCACATTAGTATTATGGGCACAATATTGTAATTTCATTCAAGTTATCAGGTACTTGGGTATAATATAATCATTTGTTTTGTTTTAATTATAAGCTTCTTTGATTTTTATGTCCTTATGTTGTATCAAAGCCATAAGTCTGTAAGCACGTTGCCTGCTGAAGTTCATTTTGTTTTACAACCCACAAAGCTTGTGAGCAACAAGATACATTTTTGGGTGACGTGGTGATTTATTAGGAAAAATAATTAAATTACTAGATATCCAGCGTTAAAAATCAAGGGATAAAACTTAAGATAACACAGCAGGGAGGTGATAATGAGCCAACCCAGGCATGTCTTTATCCACACCTTGTCAGGTGTGAACAATTAGCAACCTAAAGACCCTTGTACTGTCACTTCAAGGGCAGTTACTGCTGACGATGGGGATAAAGTTAGGCCAAATTAAGCTATCTATGATTCAGTACTTCCTATCCTAACGAAAGTCTTTGGTTGTACGAGTAAAGCTCAGTAAACACTGTGTGTATAATTATATAGACGTAATGTTCCCAGTTTAGCTGTAATTTCCCATTTGAGATAAATTTTTATCACCCAGCTGCTGTTTTGTTTTTAATACTTGAAACATTTTTGTAACCTTTCTGTGTATTAGCATCTTTACTAACTCAATCTACAGCTAATCAATCCTTTATTCACAATTTTAAGCTGCATTTAAGTGCAAACATGCAGCAAAGAAGCTTCGTTCATGTATCTGTGATTTAATGATGTGACAGTGAAGGTCGCTTGGTAAAATGGGTCATGGCTGGATACTAGAATAATTACCTGTCATTGGCCAAGCTGTCCTCGAGCAGGAAATTAATATTTCTCTATTATGTACAGGGTTAGCTGCTGTGTCCTTCAGATTTAATAAATGCCATCATGACGGTACAGACCCACACTGGAAACACTCATATACTGTTCATTAACAAATTCATGCAAACGCATTCACATCAAGTGCATCCAAAAACCTTCGGCAAGAGAATCCTTCTATTAATAAATAAGAAGTGCAACAAAATATGTCGTGATTCTCCGAGCGTCAGTAATTGCCTTCAATAGATCAGCCTTGAGCACAGAGCAGTACAGAGCAGCTGTCTTTGTCAACTGATCCACACCAGGGACTGCACTGCAGCACCAAGACACACAAACACCCAGCCTGTAAAGAAATACAGTAATATTTCATGCATTCATTGAACAGATTGGTCACATGGCTGCTTTCTGATCTCAAAGTTTTCTTTATTTCCTGGGCTTAAACTGTTTTTGTAGTCAGCAGAGGATTTGGAAGCAGGAATGTAGGAGAGACATATATTTAAGCAAGAGGACTGAAAAGTATATTTTGGCATAGAATTTGTAAGCCTTTCACACTCTTTAACTCCAGTTTACATTATGTCTTCTTACAGCTATCCTTAAAATAAAAAATAACCCAAATGATTCTAATTTTAAATATATGTTAAACTACACTAACAAGAAAAAAGAGCCTATAATCAAAAGCGTGTGTTTGCAGTAAATCACTCCGCTAATGTGGCAACAACAGCGAATTCAAGCCAAAGTGGCCTTTTTAAAATCACAAATTGGGCCCTTGAAAGTAATCATCTGTGAAGTCCTATGTGCCTTTTTCCTTAGTGGCAATGTGACCATCGGTTCAGTGTTTTGCTATATTGTTTTGGGTCTTTGCACGTGTAAAAAAAAAAATAGGCACATAACACATACTGCAAACTGTGCTTCCCAGCATGCATGGCTGATGTGTTGACTTTTATTGATTAATATATCTGCCAAAATGCAGCAGGAGTCATTCAGTGGGTGCTGCGCATCTGGTGTGGAACGCTTATAGCGAGAGACAAGCTAAGCATTTACATCTGGAGTCTGACAGCTATCTGAATTTTAACGTTATACAATCTAGATTAAGTACTTGGAGAAACTTAAACTGTAACTGTGCATGAATAATGCTCAGGTGTCTCTTTCTTCTCACCCCTCTCTTCTTTCAGGCTCCCCAGCTCGGCACACTGATGGGCGTTTATTTGCCGTGCATCCAAAACATCTTCGGAGTCATCCTGTTCCTCAGGATGACCTGGTTGGTGGGAATCGGAGGTGTCATTGGGACTTTCATCATCGTTTTCATGTGCTGTACCACAGTGAGTGTTGTACATTCTTGTAAAGTTTAGCCCAGGTTCATAGTGAAAATTCAGAATTTCACACGTTTTATAAAGTGCAGCATTCGTGGAGCGTAGCATATTGTAGAGTGGAAGGTAGCAGATGTAGCAGAATTTATTGTTCAGCAGTGTAAGATTGTTATCACCATTATTGGCTCTGGTGAGAACAGCAAAGATTAAGGACCTTGCACAGAATATGGTTGGAGAAACAGAGGATATAAATATGTTTATAATGGTTCAGTAATTTCTGTGTTTTGATTAGTGAGCAGTAGTTTTCCATTAATGTGGTGCCATACTTTGAATTGCAAGTAATTACTTCTCTGCATTAGCCGAAACGGCTTTCTTTTTTATTTCATCCAAAAATAGTTCGCCAGGGGTAGTTTCACAGTAAAATTGGTCATACAGCTGTTGTTCAGTCTCTAAATAGAATCAGTCTCTTTAGTAAGCAGAGTCAGCCTACAATACACACAATGTATCTTTGTTTATTTTTCACAAAGATATCCCCCTTATTTTAAGGATAACAGCTTTGCTGTAATGTGTTTGAACAGCTTAAATGTTGACATTCTTTCTTGGTTTTAGTTAAGCACAATTTCTTTGCTAAACATATAATACAGCCCAACCCTCTTTGCTCTACAGTTCTGTACCGATGTATTGTATTGGTTTATGTCCAATAGAAAACTTTCTGGTAAGGTACCACCCCCAAGAATTTTTAATGTGTTACATCTACAGAAATATGGATAGTTGACCCAGTCGTGGTTTTAAACGGCAAGTCTAAGGTTACAGCTTACTTAAATGGAGCAGTGTGGTCAAAGAATAACTGCAATTATCTATATAGGAGTATAGTTCACAGACATTTCCCTCTTAACAATGTGGCATTCAGCAGTAATAATAAAGTGACAAACTGGCAAGTGTTTTTAAACTAATCTTACATTAAAGGAAACCAGAGTGTTGAAGATTGTTTTGTTTGGTAATTTATTTCAAACATGTAAACAATATACAGGTACATTTAGACAAGAAAATAAGAGAGAGAAAAATACTATACATTTTTTTTTAAATATTTATATACATATATACAATATACAAAAATCAATACATTTCAATATAGCCACCGTTCTGATTAATTTACATGTTGAAAGGGAGTGGGAAGAAGTAAACACTTATTTAATCCCACCCCTTTTCCATAAATTATCAGTTAATATTTAGTCAGCGTCCTTACTGATATAATTTGTAATAAAAATAGTGAACAGATTTCTGATATACTATATACTATATTATAACATCATGAATTTTTTTTTAAATAGAGACATTCACTTAATTTCAATATTTTCCCTTTCTTTATAGTTCATATTTTTATAACTCTTTTTATAACTCTTGAACTTTTGAACTGTTTTATCTTTGGACATTGCTTTAATTCCATATTCAGACTGTTCCACAGTTTCACTCCATGAACAGAAACACAAAAGCTTTTTCTTGTAGTACGTACCTTCCTGTTTTGAAGTTACAAAAACCCCTTAAATTATAACTTCCTTCTTTCAAAAAAAACATACTCTGAATATTACCTGGCAGTTCTTTATTTTTTGCTTTGAATAGAATTTGTGCTGTTTGGAATTTCACTATATCGTCAATTTTCAATATTTCAGACTGCAAAAATAGTGAGTTTGTATGTTCCCTATAACCTGCATTGTGGATGATTCGAATTGCTTTTTTTTGAAGAGTAAAAAGTGAATGTAATGTGGTTTTATAGTTATTGCCCCAGACCTCTGCACAATAGCTTAAGTATGGTGAAACCAGTGAACAGTATAGAATATGAAGTGATGTTCTGTCGAATACCTGTTTTGCCTTGTTTAGTATTGCAATGCTACGTGATACTTTGGAATGAATATATCTTACGTGAGCTCTCCAGTTAAGTTTTTCATCTATTATTACCCCCAGAAATTATTTTCACTGACTCTTTCAATATCAACACCATTTATTTGAATCTTTGCATTTGTATTTAAACTACTATTTCCAAATAACATAAGTTTAGATTTATTCAAATTTAATGATAATTTGTTTTTATCAAGCCAGAACTTCACTTTACTTATTTCATTAGTTGTATCCTCCAATAAATTCTGCAGATCATCACCAGAGCAAAAAATGTTTGTATCGTCAGCAAAGAGAACCATTTTTAATACTTTGGACACTTTACAGATGTCGTTAATGTACAAGTTGAAGAATTGTGGACCCAAAACTGACCCTTGGGGTACACCACAAGCAATGTCCATACATAAGGAGCAACCACCATTTAATTTCACAAACTGCTTCCTGTCACCTAAATAACTCCGGACCCAATCTAAAACTACCCCTCTGACACCGTAACGTTCCAGTTTTCTTATTAATATATGATGATCTATAGTGTCAAATGCCCCACGTTTTATAACACTGTTCAGTATTTCCCATAATCTTTTAATATTATTTCTATTTATATCTAATTGCTTCATATAGTATTCCTTTTTACTATATCTAAGTATATTAGTTAACCTATTTTTATACCAAATTCTTTCCATATTCTTAGCAACGACAGTTCACTTGAAGGTGGCAGGTTTATATTTGAGGACACAGGCGTTAGCAAGATTATAGAGGATCCTAAAATGTTTTTTACGTCTTGCCAAGTCCATAGTGCTGAGAATTACATACGTAGGTTCCTGATACTAAGAACATTCACAGAGGTTTGAGATGTATGAAATAAAACTTCTTCTTCTGTATCGGTTTAATAAGCAGTTATGGTTTTTTGTGTTATCACTCTTTTCAAAAAGCTCAATTTTCTGAAAATACTCATAGTTTAGAGTTTTGCAGTTTCTTGTTTTCGAGACATAGAAGAAGCTACTTTCGGCTGCTCCATTATTCACAAGGGGTCTCCACAGCGGGTAGCGCCGCATGTTTGCTTTGGCAGATTTTTACAGCAGATGCCCTTCCTGACTCAACCCCCAAAGGATTTGTGTCTCCTCCCGGGACTGAACTAGGGATCTTTCATTTATTAGATGAATGAAAGCCGCTGTTTGTGAGATGTAGTATCTATTTTTATTTGCCAGAATGGTATCATTGACCCTGCACCAAATCCAGCAAAGTAGTGTTAAAGTGAAATTTCAAGAGAGGAGGTTTTAATCATCTTATTTTAGCCTGTGTAATGATTCTGGGTCTGAGTGAAGTGTAACGTTGCAGATCACATAACCAGGTTCCTTTTGTGCTGTATAAAGAGCAAACTGCCTCTCTGTCGATGATCTGTTTGTATTTCACAGACCCCACACGTTCAGTCTGTAAAAAAGAACAACATGACACACTGTGATGCTCCCTGGTTCCCTTTAATGTCACTGCCACAGAGTCATGTGTCAGAGTGACTTTGGACTGACACCCTGCCGTGGCCCTGAGACTCGCATTACATAAGACTCTCCCACAGGATCGAAGTCGCTGCTGTCAGTGGTCTGGCTGGCTTCTACAAGATGATCGTGTTTGATGCATTTGATTGTCAGAGAGCATATACTTGGCCTCCTCACTCAAAAGCTTAACATCTCTATTCTGAAGGGTGTTGACTTAATTTACTGTCTCTGTTGAAAACTTGACAATGCCCTGCATGAGAGCTTTCTGTCAGACAACACAGGCGCATCCAGCCTGAGTATGGCTTTTCAGTGGATTGCCTTGCTAATTTTATTGTACATGACAGTTTAATTAAAACTTTGTGGTCTATAAGATGTAAGAGCTGTGTGTCGTTCCTCTGATTTGCATTTTGGGTTATGGACTTTATGTTGGTTTGTCTGCGAGTTTGTGCAACCTAGATTCTCCTCCAGCTGAGTATATTTATAGAACGACCCCCTCAAATCCCAAACACTGCCTGCACAGACACATGCTGCGGCCCCGTCATTTTTCTGTGTGACAGTATAGAGGGCATACTGAATGAAACAGCATATTGATAGAACATAATATGTAATTCCATGTTTGAGCCTGATATCTTAGTAATTACCTCTAAAATATAGATACTGAATCTCATCAGCTTATTATTTTTTTCCATCAGCATCATAAAAATATAAATAATTAATAAAAAGGGGATAAAAAGATTTTGTGTGGTGCATGAAAAAATACAGCACTCAGTTTTATGGTGGAAAAAATAGCAGGAGAGAAAAAAAAAGGCTTGGAGATCAAAGCTGGTTCAGACACAGCTTGACAGGAAGTCGTGCAAGCACACAAACACATTTGCAATTCCTATGCTTCATTTCTTATGCTTTAACACACACATACACACACACAGAGGAATCAGTGCTAAAAAGTTCCTTACGTCCATTTACTAGAATAAACTCTGAAAAACATCTCTCAATAATTTCGTCTCACTGTTTAATATCACACACACACACACACTTTTTATCACTCACACTGAGCTCATTGCAGAGCCCCGGGGCGATAAGCTCGAGCGTGAACGGTGTGTGAGAAACCCCCACCTCTCTCCTCCTGAGCTCCTTACATAACCACCGAGGCCTTCAGGGGCTCTCAGCAATGAGCGCGTGTGTGTGTGCATGTACATACGTGTACGCAGCGATGCCCACCTGAGTGAAATCCACAGGAGCCAAAGTGCGAAGGAATCTCGCATGTTGTAGAGCTTAATAATATACAGCAGGACCCCATGTTTTATTCACTTCATGGGATGTCACTGACAGTGCACTTTTCAGGTGCTTAATCACAGCTGCACATATCTGCAGCTGTCAAACGCTCGCGCCAATATTTTTCTGTCACATCTTGGCGGAACGTTAACGAGCCGCAGTGCTCAAACATTCAGGGAATCGTTATATAAAGAACGCGCCTCCATGTGGAACGGCTCTGACACATTAAACCATTAACCATGAAATTATACACGCAAGCCACCATTTTAAAAATCAGTGCTTTGCTGCAGACAGGGACGCTCAAACGTGTGTACGTCGTACTGGTATATGAGTCTTTTTACCCCAGATAATGAATACAGGCTCTTACCACATTAAAATGAGCTTTAATATTCTAGATGGAAAGTCATCTGTTATTTGGTCTTCCTCATTACTTCCAGGTCTTGAATCCAAATGCTGTGAGGGGAAGGGTTGGATGCCCTCTGTCGTGACTCATTTAAATGCTTAGGATGCCTTTCTCGCTCATCTCCTCATATTTTACTCTTTCGCTTCTTCAATTTCTCCAAGCCTTTTCTTTTTTCCATGTTTCTGTCTCATTATTCCCTTTCTCCTCCTCCTTCTTCCTTTGATTCTATTCTCTCTCTTGCTCTCATTCTTATTCTATTATTCAATTTTTGTCCTTTTTCTGCCACGTCTGTTCTTGTCTCGCAGCATAGCACAGCAGCATCTCGTCCTCTTACTTATAGTTTCCATTCCCACCATCACTCTGAAAGTGAAAATCACCTCAATCACTGTCATTTGACATTGGTGCCTTCCATAGTATACCATCCACAGGGGTTTCAAGTGATGAGCAGCACCCTGAAACTTCTGTGCTTTTGTATGTCAACTGATGAAGTTGTACCTCAAAAAAACAATTCTGCATTTGTGTAATGAAGCATGATAATGAAGCACGCTCTCAGGGCAAGGCAAAAGCTCCAGTCCTGTCGAAACCAATTTCCGCTCAACTGTAAGGTCAAAAAAAGACCAATTCAGAATTTGTCTGTAGCTTTGGGAAGAAACAGACCAAAAGTGTCCTTTGGGGTCATCAGTGGGGAGTGTGTCAGCTGGCAGGCTTTTCTTAAAAATGACTTTTTTCACCAAATACATTCCTAGGGCTCATCTGTAATCATGATGGCTTAGCAATTATTCAGGCCTTGCTACCATTCCGATTACATTTTGAAGGAAAACATCTCCTTTGTGCGAAATGTAAGCTGTGTGCTGTTGTATCTCATGTGGATGAGACAGATGGTGGGGAGGTCTAATCTGGCCTTTCTACTGGCATGCTTAAAGCCTAGAGGGCTTGTGGGTACATGTGAGTTTGGAGGCACTGACTCCAGGATTCATGGAGAAAGAGAGAGTTATAAACCAGAGGATGTTCACTAACGCAAACTCTCAAACCATCACAGTTTTAGGTTACCAGCCTGAAAGTGGGACAATAAAACAGGCCACAGGCTCTGGGTCAGTGGGAAGAAAGATTTTGCCCATCCTGCCTGCTAAAACAGAACATCGCTGGGTTTTTTTAGTGCCACTCTTCAAATGTTCTGCGAATACAGACATGATTTGGTCATCAAGTGCTTGAACTACAGAGGAATCTGTGTTAGATTTAGTTATTAGATCTCCAGTATCTGCTTTTGATCCTATGTTGTGGTCCATTTGGGTCTGCAGGTGAGATCATTGGAGATGAAAGCCAGGCAGTTTCTCATGCATGACTTTTTCTGCTAGTGACCCTGTCTGCAGTGATGCCCAAAGGGTCATTTAACTAAAAGTGATAAAAATGGTATTTCACAACAGTGACAACAACAAAATCATCTGCTCTTCTGTTGCCACTTGTGGTGGTTCAGTCAAACAAAACAACATATGACATTAAATTGCACATCAGCAATCAATCATAGATTGAAGGTGAAATTATTCATCTAACTGGAGACAAAATTTGAGTTTTGAAAAGTGATAGTTGCTACTTTGTCTTGTCTGCAGCTGGTTGTAGACAAAATCAACGCAGAATCGATCCATATATCGATACAGTTTCCACTGAAACACAGATAAACCTCAAATAATTTGTTGCTTGACCTAATCGCCCTCATTCATTTCCACTCCTCATGCCTGTCAAGCCTTCTGTTCTCATAGAACGCACGATGAGGCTAACAATATTGATACTGTCAGATTTTCAACTCCAAATTCTTGTTATTTTCAAAACAGTGAGTTGTGACTTCACACAGACAAAAGCAGGCTTCTCATTTCAAGCCAGTTACCTACTGATATTGCCAGCTGAAATCGCAGCTGTCACTAACATGCTCAGTTTGTCAGCTTTAGTTTTCTAATTATATTTCGCTCCATGAGCACTGGTTCACACAAAGAGCTTTGATAAAGTCTTAAATTGGCACTTGCATAAATAACTGGATCTAAACCTCTGTTTCTCAGGAAATAGTCAGAACTCTTACATAGCTACTCCTTCAGACTGAATTGAAAGAACTGTATTGTTTGCTGTGCTTCAGACTAGAATTAACGATATATATCTTCAGAATGAGATGGCAGAAATAAGATTCTGCTATGAGTATAAATTACAGTACAGTACTTCTTGGAAATTAAAACATATAGACCACCTTCCAGACTCATAGTAATTGAACATCATGTATCAATATAAAACAGAGCATGTGTTTTAAAGACAAAGTCAAAGGTTCAGGGGGGATATAGTGTATAACTTACCTTTAATATTATTGACATACATAAAATTCAGAGCGAAGCATTACTAAAGCACTGTACATCAATCCTGTTTGGCTGCACCGCCAACAGTGCAAATCAGACAAGTGCATTGCTGGCTTTTCTGCATGGAGATTCAGTGATTGGGTATGCGACTGACTACCTCTGAGTGGCTGCTGCCCACATCAGATAAAACACTTAAACAATTACTGTCTTATCTGCTGTGGTGGGAGAAGGGTTTCTGGCCTCATTATGACCAGATTAGAGTGAGAAACAGAGCCCAACTCACTGTTCACTCCTGATCATCAGTCCACTGGGCCCTCAGGTGACACTAACCACATTAAAGTCTTTGCAGAGACAGATACAATAACAGTTAAACATAACCAGCATGGTTTCCCGTGGCTGTAAAACCTCACTCCAGTGTAGTTGAAACAGAAACTTTGAAAAGAAACAACCACTGATTGTTGTGGTAAATTAATAAATAATAATAAGTAATTGTTCTGTAAAATGTTGCATTTATTAACCACTTTTCTTGTCAGTAACAGAATTTACTGTTGTTCTTTTTTACCTTACATTTTAGGAAGGTGATTACAGTTTAAATGTTACCCAGGAAAGACTGCTATTGCACTAATGCTGCATGCAAGCACAGATTGAATCAATAATATATATAACTTTACATTCAAAACTCAACTAATAATAACATAATAAACTAGAACAACTAATTTATAGAAAAGCCCCAAAAAATAGGAGAAAGTGAGACATGTTTTAGGCAGCCAGTTCTCACATTTCGTCCTCGCGTTTCTCTTTCTGTGTCTGCCTCTGTCTTTCATGTGCAGACAATGTGAAAAGACACTCAGAAATTCAACAATAGCAACTAAAAGAATAATGAAATCTTAATGCTGTCTTTGTACTGTCAAACACACTCTCCCGCTCTCTTTCCCAGTCACTCTCAGTGCTTTCACGTTGTCATTTTTTATTTCTTCTGAACCATTCTTCCACTCTCTGCGTACATCTCTCCCTCTTGTCCTCTGCAGGCCAGTCGGGACTCGCGCTTTGTGTTGCAGGCGACTGTGATAGCCGTGAGCTTCGCTTTACCGTGCCCTTACATATCTCAACTCGACAGAGTTCCATAAGAGTTGTCGCTGGATGTCTGAATGTGCTCTGACAGCTGTTGACAGGCCCTGTGGTGTTATTATTTATCTAATCAACGAGCAGCCTGTCCGTTCTTTAATTCTATGCTGGGAAAATTCATTGCTTGGCGCTGGTATGAAGGACTTTACCTGGAGGAAATAAAAGAATTGAAGTTTGCTTAAAAAGAATCTGATAAAATGTGAAAGTGAGGACAGAACATTAAAACAGTAAACGATTTTTAGCAGTGCCAGTGGCTCTAGTGATGGCAATGTCAGGCAGTCTAATTCTTTGGGGGCTTCCTGCTCAGAAATGGCCTTTGGAGTTAATTATACACATAAGCATGAGTGGTCCACTTACAGTAAGGCCAATAAGTCTCTGTTGCCTTATTTGACAGAAATATGTGCATTCTTCCTGTTTGTTTCTGGTCATTTGATAAACAAAATGTCTGTATTTCGTGAATAAATACATCTCCAATTACAAAACTGGAGTAGAAAAAATATTAGAATATTGCTGTTGATTTCCTTTCGGCTCTGCTGAAAGCCTCTAGGAATGTGCTAAAAATTCTTCAATGCAGGAAAGACCCTACTCTGTCTTTGGTATCCACAGAAAAGCATCATTAACCGTTAGATGGACTTCCATTACAATTTTTTTCAGCTATCCATGGTAGCAAGAGGATAAACTAATGACTTGATGGATCAGGGTTATCCACTAACTTTTCAACATGCACTATTGCAGCAGAGGTGCTGAAATATCTTGAAGGGGGTTTGAAAATGTTTCACATAATCGTACACTGTGTTGAACTGAAATAGTTCCAATGACTTTGACTGACATTAACTGCTCAAGCTTTAACATCAAGTCATGTATTTTAGATGTCTGACATTTAGATTTATGACTAAGTTCCCGCCACATCCCAATTAGTGTGATCTCTCCTTTGAATTTAGTGCTGATTATTATAAAAATTACTGTTTCAGGGTGTGTTTTTTTCCAACTAACTTGATTTGCACATATAGCATTGTGGTTGCGAGCATTGAGCTAAATCAGACTCTTAGTTTTGTTTTTATTTTATTACTTAGATTTAGTTTACCAGTTTCATTTCATTTTTGGTGATATAAATAGCCACGACACCTTATTCATTGAGGTTTAGTTCACAATTTAAGAAAACAATAAATGGTATTCTTCAGAGTTGAAAAGATCAAAAACTTGTGTGCGTAATTTGCAAATTTGATCTAATTTCTTCTTTTCCTGCTCCTCTGTCCTTCTCTGTGTAGACCATGCTGACTGCCATCTCTATGAGTGCCATCGCTACCAATGGAGTAGTGCCAGGTGGGTGAGCAGACGCTGGCACCACACAGTCATCGCTGTTTGAGTCTGTCCGCTTCTAAATTTCTCTTTTCGCTGATTGCTTTTGGCACAGTACACCCAGCGCAGCTTGATATCTCCAGAAACATTAAAAGCTTTAGTCTGGGATCTTGTGCACTTTAGCTCCTTGTCACGCAACGTTATTTACACAAAATAAAGCATCAGCCAAATGCTTGTCATGGAGATCTGCATCGGCAAGTTTGTATCTGTACACAGACACATGAACGTGCATATGCAGGCTAGCTACATTTTATAAGCGAGTTTACATAGTAATGATGGCCTGCGTCTTACCAGTTGGTGTGCATGCAGCAGGGGTCAGAGCAAATTACAGGCTTGTAGAGAAGTGTGGAAGTGTATGCCAATTATAACTGTCTCTGTTATAACCGGTCCCAACCCTTGTGCTGCTCCAAAGTGCTGATTAGGGTCTATTTATTTATGTTCAGTTAATTTATTTGCACACTGCTTGTGCATTTGTGTATAACAGTGTGATAAGATGCAATAATAAGAAAACCTTTTCTAGCAAATTCAGCAAAAATTACAACTGTCAGAAAGCAGTCTACCAAAATAAAAAAGCATTACAGAAAAAACTATTTTCTATCATTAATGTATGGAAATCGTTTTTTAATTTTAAAGAAATGTGCTGGATATTCACTGGTGTACACAGTGGACAGTTTTTTAAACATCTCCCTTGTTCTTTGTTGTCGAGTTTCTTTTATTTGATTGTGTAAAATGTTATTTGTTAAAAGAGACAAAATTGAAGTAAATGTCTGCACTCACCATGGTGACATGCTAATGTCAAAACTAATTAACAGATACAAAAATATATGTATGGTTCAGCATGAGATGTCATCGTTTAGTCTTCTCACAGACAAAGTTACCCATTAAATGAGTACTTCAGAGTGATTTTGTGCTGTTCGTGTAGCTGGAGGCTCCTACTACATGATCTCCCGTTCACTGGGCCCTGAGTTTGGGGGAGCGGTCGGAATCTGTTTCTACCTGGGGACCACGTACGCTGGAGCCATGTACATCCTCGGAGCTATTGAGCTCCTCTTGGTGAGAATGACGCCCTCTTTGTGTTCACTCTCTCTGACTTTGTTAATGTCATCACCAGGCAGTAACATGTTAACTTTCTTTTCATTTCATTAGTGTAGCATAGTTTATTAGTATTTTATTTAATGCCATAACTAATATTATGGCATTTGTACCCTCAGACCATGCAAGTGGTTAAAGAACAATAATAATAATAATAATAATAATAATGAAGTCCTGGCCACGTTGTTCAGGTCTCTGTCTTGTAACAGCTTCACCTCTTTCTTCAGCTTTAGAGAGATTTGGGAGGTCTGCTTCAGACACATTCTCACTGCCACAAATACTAACTCTGGTTTAGGAAAGTTTGCAGGAAGCAGAAAACATGACACCTCCTTGCTTGCTGTGAATCGTATTACCTTCACTGTTCTCACGTGGGCTCGACTGAGTATCGTATGTGCTGGGCAGCTGAGAGGTTAAAAAGCAGTTAATATCAGAGCACGTCTTGTGCTTTCTCACGTGCAGGTTAATGTTTAGAAATGAAACGCATGTGTGAAAACAGCTTATCTGCTAGTGTCAAACATCCAGCCTGGAGTGTGGAAGGACCATTTAAAAGTTGACTCACCCCATCACGGCTCAACCAATCAGCGATCACCAAGTCTTAGATGGTCTTATGAATCATATTAAGTGATGCACTTCTCCTCAGGTGAACTGCCTGTTTTGAACCATTTATTTATTCTGGAACTGATTCTGGTTAAATGCTCGTTTTTGGACGTTTGTAATACATCCCAAACAGCTGCCACGTTTATTTATTTATTTATTTTTTGAGTTCACTTCTATGTGAGTGAGAGAGAAAAGCGTCTAATATCCTGTCTATTTGAAATGACATCCATTTCAAGCTTATTCATCCGTGATGTCACAAGACCACGATGACCTAAAAGAAAAACGATGTGAGCTGCCAGGTTAGTAGAGGATGACCACTCAAATCACAGCGTTTTCTTCCCTGCAGTAAACCCTCCAACATCACATTTTGACAATTTTTACCAAGGTGATAACACTGTCAGACCCACAACTCTGAGGGGAACTTTGTTGTGCTCCGGTGGCAAAATATTACCCTTTAGATTAAATTATAGTGGTAATATATAAAAGATTTTTGCACCATGTTGTTCTGGTCCAAGCAGATTTGAAGCCAACATTGGAAACGTTTCAATGGTTAAAGGCAAGGAGCCAAACAAAACCGCTAGCCCAGAGGTATTTAAACATTAATCACTAATGTGTGCAGGGAATGTGGCTAATCTTTTCTTTCTTTTCTTTGTTTTAACCAGGTAACAACAAACATTTTCCAGTACTAATTTACAATTTTGTTTTCACGTGATTGTTCAGTGTTGTAATATAAGCTTCTTTTTTTTGCTTGTTTGTTCATTTTAGAGTGAGTTTGTTTTACCCTTTTCCAATCTTCATATTAAGTGTGTGTCAGTCTTCTTGTCCAACTCTAACAAGTGTGTATTTCTCCAAATGTCAAATTGCTCCTCTGAAGGTGTCCTATTATGTGCATTTCCAGATCAAAGTGTGTATTCCTGGACTCTCGCAGAGTAGCTTTGTATGATTTACAGTTCAAAATAATCCTTGTTTATCTTTCTGTCTGACTTGGTGTTTGACTTTGGCCACAGTTAGTATCGTTATCTGCCTTCATAATAGCATAATATCTCCACTTTAAATATATATTAAAAAAGGATGATTTGATAGATTTACTCCTGTAGCTACAATGACCTGTATTGCTTGTTAATCTCATCCATGCTTGTTACTATTTTTGTTGTTCAGCAGAAGGAATATGATCCCTCGTTTTTAATCCTGCCTGCAAACCTCTGGTTGACTAAATTTTTCTAAAGAGGGGAACAGTTATTAGAGAGTACAACAAGTCTAGTATAAAAAAAAAAAAAAAAAGAAACCATAAAATCCTTAATTTAAGTATATTCATTGAAATTTGGGGGGGGGGGGGGGGGTGTTTATTCCAACTGGTCAGACCCACATCAATGAAACTTCTGATATTCCTGAAATCCAATCAGTGCAAAGTGAAACAAAAAAAAATGTTACACTTCTAACGAATACAAAGCAGAGCATTTGCATGTTCTTCTCCTTTGGTTGATTTTCATCATCACTTTGCTTTGAAGCTATTTTCTTCTCGCAGTATGTGCTCTTCAATGTGAATTCTGATTAGTTTTTGAAATGGCGCGATCTTTCATCTCAATCTTTCGCTTCTCTCCTCCTGTTTCTCGTTCTCCTCCTCTGCCTTTCACTCCACACTTCTTCCACTGCAATGCCTCCATGTTGCATGGGATATTGGGTAATTATGCAAATACTGCATTATAAGGGATGAAGACACTGCCTGAGTAACAGGATCATTCCTTGAAACAGCTCTCATCACTTTGGTCCACTGTTATCAACTGTCATTTTTTATTGTTAATAATATTATTCTGGATGCCTCTAATGGATATGGAGTTTGATCGTGTCTGGAGGTTAATTCTGTCTTCTGGGTCAAAGCTGGCTTAGTTTCCATTGTAAAATAACAATCCTTGCAGAATTGTAAGGAGCGGATCTTGAGGAAGACTGATTTGAATATGTTTCATCCTTCCACCCAAGTCAGGAACACAAACTGATGCTGCTATTTTAGGAACCATGAAGAGTTCACCGTGAAGCTACGATTTGTTTGCCTAGTGATGTGCTGTTCTTAGCATTCAGCCAAATGACCGAAACCACAACTCACTGCTTGTTCTCTTGTTGCTCTTCATAGTGATAAAGAGTGTTCAGGCTGAGAGAAAAAAGACACAAATTTCCACACTTATGTAACAGCCTTGCAATGAATCATCTAAACCTGATGACAGATAGTGACGGTCTAATTAGGGGTTTACCATCTATCTTCTGACTATTCTTAGACTGACCCGTAGTAAAAGTGTAATAATGGCAGTTAATGTTTAATATTAATACCATGCTTGAGTTGTTTAATTAAGAATTAAAATAGCAGCCAGTAGTACGAGTTGGTGCTTCAAGCTCCAGTAGAGGACTTTTAATGTGACATCGCATATATTCACACTTCACAGAGTTGTCCTCTTTTACTCATCTCATCCCTCATTGCCTTTCTCACCTTTTTTATTATATCCAAGCAAGCAAGCAATTTATTTATATAGCACTTTCAGACAACTACCAGGAGAAAACAAAGTGCTGTACACTTGACATGACACAGAAAAAACGATACATTAAATTAAAAAAATATATATATATACATCTTTCTTTTCCATTTAGCAGCAAACAGTGAGGTAGAGAGGCAGGTTTGTAACCTGAAAACTGCCAGTTTAAATCCCCAGACAGGCCATAGAAGGTGAGGAGTGAAAGTCGCACTTCCAAAACATGTACCACTAAGATGTCCTTGAGCAGCAATGATATTTTCTGGATTTTTTTTTTTTTTATGATAAAAGTACTGCTGATTTCCCTGGATACATAAAGTCAAAGATAAATAAATAAGCTCCTTTCCTCTGCAGATCTACATTGTGCCCAAAGCAGCCATATTTCCCCTGGAGGGCCTAGAGGGTGCTGAGGCCGAGGCCGCCCTGCTTAACAACATGCGCGTGTACGGGACCATCCTGTTGACCTCCATGGCCACAGTGGTATTCGTTGGCGTAAAATATGTTAACAAGCTGGCACTCGTGTTTCTGGCATGCGTCATTCTCTCCATCTTGGCTGTCTACGCCGGAGTCATCAAGACCGCCATGGATCCACCTGTATTCCCGTAAGCAGTTAGAGCCAAGATAATCCAATATTATATAAGCTGAAATGGTAACAAAAGCCCAGACTAACACACATCTTATCTACATGCTGTTTTAGAAAAAGCAACACATAATTACTTGCTAGGTTTGGAGAACATGCCATTATTATATCAGTGGTACAAAGGCACCAGCACTAATTTGCCTTATTTTTTATTTTACATATTTAAAAATTAGATGAATTTACCTGAAAACTAAGTTTTATAATGTGATACCCATCGTTGTTTTAACCTAGGTGTCAATAGATGTCAGAAAACAATTTAAAACAACAGATATTGTTTAACTATAAAATTAATTTAAAGAAGAAAAAAGTCCAAATAAATTGTTTACATCAAACACACATGCAGAAAAGTTGCTACAGCAGCAGTATTTCAAAATTGTGTGCTTTTCTATTCCTCTAGGGTGTGTATTTTGGGGAATCGCACTTTGGTGTGGAAGTCCTTTGATGTTTGTGCCAAGACCATTGAGACAGCTAATGGGACAGTCACAACCCAGCTGTGGCAGATGTTCTGTGATTCACCTTTTCTCAATGCTACCTGTGACAAATACTTTGTTGCCAACAATGTGACTGAGATCCAGGGCATCCCTGGGGTCACTAGTGGAATCTTGGCAGGTTGGTTCATTCGTTTTGGATCCAATTATCATCTTTCTATACTGCTGAGTCACTGACAATTCATTGGCGTTCTTTTCTAGATTTCTTTATATTTTAATGAAATGTTTACGATAAAATACTTTCTTAGGTCTGAATGTCCTGTTTTCCCCATTGATCTGTTGTTATAGTACTGGAGTGTCCATCAAGAAACACTCCAGTACGAGCAGCTTTAAATGTTGTAAAAAGAACTTAAAAAGTCGATTCATTTTTCTAGATATTTGCTTTCAGATCTTTTTAATAAATGTTAAAAATGGTGATTTCGTGTTACAAAGACAAAGTAGAGCAAACTTATTTCTTAGCCTTGGGCTTCCTGAAACCCTAAGAAAGCCCACAGCTAAGCAAACCTTGTTTTACCCTGGTGTAACAGTAAACTCTGAATTAAGGAGTCACACTTAAAAGTCACTTTAATTTTTTGACTTTATTTTTTAGAGATAAAACATATCATATTTTATCTCCCATTTTTAGGGGGAGATAAAAAACCTCCCAAATCCACCTACTCAAGCAAAGTAATTCATGTTTCTGTTTTCTGAAAGCATCTTTTTTTTTACTGATTTGAATAAACTAATTAGAAATTGTAAATAGTGACTAACTCAATTTTGAATGGCTGAAGAATAAAGTAAATTTGTTAATTAGTCATGGCGTTCAGTCACCAATTGAATATTTGGCTAACATGGAAGGATTAAAAACACCTATTTTCAGGTTCTGTCTGCATGAATATTTTAATTCTAGTCCTCTCTATGTTTCTTCAATGCCAATCCAGATAACCTGTTTGGAAACTACTATGAGAAAGGGGACCTCATTTCCAGGGATAAGATGGAGTCAGTGGAAGACCAGGACGATCCTCTAACCAACGCTAACCGCTACGTGTTAGCCGACATCACCAGCTTTTTCACATTGCTGGTTGGCATTTACTTCCCGTCTGTGACAGGTGAAAGCATAAACTGTTCTGTCCACTTAGTTTTTTCTTATTGTTGTTCATCATTGACACATTTATTAATTTGTTTACTTATCAGTGTGCTGCTGAGTGATTCTTTTGTTAACCATCTGAGAAATGGCATCCCTGGTGTTGTTCTCAATGTCAGACATTTATATTTATTCTGCTTGAGTGAGTTTAGCTGAATTTACTACATTCTGCTGTTTGTAGCACACGTGTTTCTACAGTATGTGCACAAATCTCTGATCTTGGTAACAACTGTCACTTCACTGTCTCTCCAGGGATCATGGCTGGATCCAACCGTTCTGGAGACCTGCGCGATGCACAGAAGTCAATCCCCATTGGAACAATTGCAGCCATCACCACCACCTCTACTGTCTGTATCCTTTAACAACTGCCGTGACGGCAGTTGTTATGCACACACACCACTGCATATACAGTGGGGAAAATAATTGTTTGATCCCCTTCAATTTATAAGTTTTCTCACCTATAAAGAAATGGAGAGTTTTTATGATAGTGTCCCTTTAACGGAGAAAGATAGAATATCAACCAAAACTCCAGAAGAAAAAACGATACATAAAATTCTGACTTCATTTGAATGTCATTAAATGAAAAAGTATCTTTACCCCCAAACAAAGTATGACTTAGCACTTGGCAGAGAAACCATTGTCAGTTTGATGTAGCTGGTCACCCAGTTTGTACACCTAAGGAGGAATTTGCCATTGTCTTGGCTGTTACTTAATTTCTTCTGACCAAGACACCTTCTCCAAGTCTTTTCTGAGTTCACTGGAAAACATCAGATGGTCCCATAAATGTGTCATTTTAAACAGGGAGACAGCAAGACTTTAGTCCATTACAGCGTAGTGTGTTACCAATGGCGTTCTTGGTGACACTGGTCCCAATCGCCTACAGATCATTAACAAGTTCTTCCTGTGTAGTTTTGGGCTGATCCACCATCTTTCACATGATCATCCTAACCCCCACGAGGCAAAATCTTACATGAATAATCACAGCTATTACCTTCTCACCAGGCTTCTTGTTGGTGGTCTTGAAGCCAATTCCAGCCGTGTGCAGGTCTAGTCTTGTCTCTGACATCCTTTGAATACTCTTAGCTCATACCCATGGTAGTGGGACGTAAGACTCTGTGAAATGGTGTTGCAAGTTACAATTATTTAGTGATTGATTATAATCTGTGTGCCACATGTACAATACTTAAACAAATACTGACACACAAATATGTAATGATTGTTTTTTTTTTTCAATATTTCATTTTAAGGTTTCTCTCCATTAAAATGAAACTACCATAAAATTAGAGAATTATCATTTCTTTGTAAATGAGGACCCTCTCAAATTCAGCAGGGGACTGAATAATTATTTCCTCACTGTACCTATATTTTATGTCTGGCCTTGTTGTGATCAAACTTGGGATAATGAATTTGTAGTGGTATTTAAAACGGATCAGTTCATAAAGGACACTGTAAGAAAAGGTCAAGTTTACAAATTTTAGATTTTAACTAACGTGTCTGCACAAACGCACTCACTGGCCTGCAAGAAGCCTCATAATTAAAGGTCAGCATTTTAAATTTGAAAAGGCCATAACTTCTGTGATACCAGTCTAATGCCCTCAAGTAGTCCAAAATATGAATCTACCATTCATGAGAACACATTTCCTATCTTTGTTTAAATCATGGCAGCTGGCTTCTGAATAATATTGGTATTATAATTTGGTATTAGAGTTTGAGCTATTTTGTCATGTGAAACCTTGTTAATATTTCAATGAATGCTTTAAGTTTTTTTCTCTTTGTACAAAATTCTTGAGCACATGTCTGCCGTTTATGTGCTTTAACATATAAGGCAGCCTATACCGTGTAGTCTGAAGCAGCTATAATGGAATGGCTGATCTGATTAGGATCTGATTAGGATCTCTAATCACATCATTGAGCTGCCTATGCACTTACCAGTTAATGAAACCAAGACATATTACATGCAATGTAATATGCATCTTATCTCAGAGATTTACTACACAAAAACGACTGACGTCTTTCCTCAGCAAATGCACTTAATTGGTTTATCAGATAATTAAGTGCATCTTCAGATGGAAAGGTTTATAATTCTTATAATCACTAAACCAAGGCTCACTAAAAAGTGTTGAATATTTACCATTTATTTATATCGTTATGAAATGACTTTACTTTCTTGAACCATATTTGCTCAGACATGTCCAGTGTGGTTCTGTTTGGTGCCTGCATTGAGGGTGTGGTCCTCAGGGACAAGTAAGTCTATCCTTGATTGAATAAAAATCATCCCTAAATACAACAATAAGTCTGAGACTGACCACTTGGTTAATCGTGTTTAGGTTCGGAGAGGGCGTCCATGGGAACTTAGTGATTGGCACATTGGCTTGGCCATCACCATGGGTGATTGTGATTGGCTCTTTCTTCTCCACCTGTGGAGCAGGCCTCCAGAGCCTGACGGGAGCGCCTCGTCTCATGCAGGCCATTGCCAAGGATGGCATTGTGCCCGCTCTTCGGGTCAGTCTGTTTTCTTCTTACAGCAGACTTCATAGAAGAAGTGGACATAGTGAAACCAATGGGCAAGGGGCTTTAAAGTGCATTCTTTATAATGGCCAATAGGTGGTGACTCCCCTGGGTCAAAAAAAGAAACAAAATTGTATGGAAGTATGAGAAAGTTACTCTGTTTCTTACTTGATTTAGCTCAGAAAACAATATCCTAATGATTTTATGTATTCAGTTATTAGTTTCAGTTCTTCTTCACTACACAATATTGTTCATTTTGTGAATTATTATTTTATTTACAGTACAAAATATAGTAAATCGAGGTCTCTTTGGACACATTAGTGATTGATAGTTTGCTAATTTGTGAGTGTGCATTCTTGGGGATGGATTTGAGCTGAGAAGAACCATCACAAAAAGTATTAAATCTATTTTAATCAAAGTCTCAACAGTTAACTTACTTTTATCAATGTTATATCCAGAGCCGTGCAGTAAAACAATTGTATTATACACCAATTTTCACATAGAAAATGGATAATGAATCAGTAAGGAAAGTAATCAGAGTAAATTGAATCAATAATGACATTAGTACCAATAAAGTCGTTTCAATATTAAATCCAAATAGAGAACCTAATATGTTCTTCTCCTCAAAATAGAAAAAAGCAAGAAGGCCAAGATGCTAACTGTGAGGCTTCAAAGCATAAATGCATAGGTGTCATCACCACTATTACATCCTCTGCTTTCATAGAATCTGTTTTGTATTTATTACATACAGTCAACATATACATGTAATGACTTGACTAGAATTAAAAAGGTAGAGGAAGACGTTTATGCAGACATACTCCTAAAATAGAAGTGGTGTAAACATGTTTTCTGTGCCGGCATTGTAGATCTTTGGCCACGGGAAGGCCAACGGAGAACCCACATGGTCCCTCCTGCTGACGGCTTGTATCTGCGAGAGTGGGATCCTCATTGCCTCCCTGGATGCAGTCGCTCCCATCCTCTCCATGTAAGACTTGGGGAAAAAATCCTTTAATTTCTTGCCATTTGAAAAAATAAATAGATTAAGGGGAATAAAACCGTGGGGGATTTCAGAGCAGCTGGTCCCCTGTTATTACTTAAACAATGCAAATACCAAATTATATGGTCTCAGAGGGGTAGACCAATTTTCTGCTTTGGTAATGCAGTCATAAATACAAGTGAATGTCATAGATGTTAACATAACAGCCCTTCTGGATTTCAATGAGTGAGCTCTTTCTTATATTGTTAGAGTAAGTAAGAAGAGGTTTGTTATATCCTGTTCATATGTGTTTCCTGCAGGTTCTTCCTGATGTGCTACATGTTTGTGAATCTGGCATGTGCACTCCAGACACTGCTGAGGACACCAAACTGGAGACCACGGTTCAAGTTCTACCACTGGTCAGTTCACCAACAACAAAGCGAAGGAACAGCTGAATTTCAAGATTCACAAACAGTTTATATTGCATGTGTCTGTCTGCCTCTGCATTCCACTCTATAGGACTCTTTCCTTCCTGGGGATGAGCCTGTGTCTTACTCTTATGTTCCTCTGTTCCTGGTACTATGCCATTGTCGCTATGGTAATTGCCGGTTCCATCTACAAGTATATCGAGTTTGCAGGGTGAGTGTTTTTCTGTATCAGGTGTTTTTTTCAGTTTACTTTATTTTCAGTTAGTTTCCTGACTGAGTTTGAGTACAGATGGTAGGTGTCTAATTAGCAAATCTTAACATTTTTGTTTTATTGGTTGAGTTGTTTTTTATTCTATATGTGATCTTCCTCAGACTTTATACTCTAGGTAAAGTTGTTCAATAAACCTCTTCAAAAATTTTTTTGCAAGATTTGAGTTCAGTTAATAATCATATGTATACAAATACTTTCTCTGTGTACACTACCAGTCAAACGTTTGGGCACACCTACTCATTTAATGTTTTTTCTTTATTGTTACTATTTTCTACATTGTAGATACATACTGAAGGCATCAAATGTATGAAGCAAGATATATGGGATTATGTAGCAAAGAAAAAAATGTCTTATGTCTCTTATTTTAGATTCCTCAAAGTAGCCACCCTTTGCTTTGTTGACAACGCTGCAAACCCTTTGGCCTTCTCTCAATGAGCTTCATGATGTAGTCACCTGAAATGGTTTTCACTTCACAGATGTGCCTTGTCAGGGTTCATTTGTGGAATTTTTTGCCTTCTTAATGGGGTTGGGACCATCAGTTGTGTTGTGCAGAAGTCCGGTTGGTACACGGCTGACAGCCCTATTTGACAATTGTTAGAATTGATATTATGGCAAGAACCAATCAACTAAGTAAAGAGAAACAACAGTCCATTATGACTTTAAGAGCTGAAAATCAGTCAGTCTAGAAAATTACAAAAACTTTGAATGTGTCCCCAAGTGCAATCACAAAAACTGTCAAACTCTACGGTGAAACTGGCTCAAATGATGACTGCCCCGGGAGAGGAAGACCAAGAGTCACCTCTGCTGCTGAGGATAAATTCATCTCTCTAAATTCATTAGAGTTCATATAAATGCGACACAGTTCCAGCAGCAGACACATCTCTACCTCACCTGTTCAATAACTGCTAAGAAAACGCTATTACTAAGGAAAAGCAACAAGCAGAAGAGATTTGTTTGGGCCAAGAAACACAAGGAATGGACATTAGATCAGTGAAAATCTTTGCTTTCATCTGATGAGTCCAAATTTTAGATCTTTGGTTTCACTTGCCGTGTCTTTGTGTGACCCAGAAAAGATGAACAGATTGTCTCTACATGCATGGTTCCCACTGCGAAGCATGGAGGAGGTGTGATGATGTGGGGGTGCTTTGCTGGTGACACTGTTGGGGATTTATTCAAAATTGAAGGCACACTCAATCAGCATGGCTGCCACAGCATCCTGCAGCGGCATGCCATCCAAACCGGTTTGCATTTAGTTGGAGCATCATTTCAACAGGACAATGACCCCAAACACACCTCCAGGCTGTGTAAGGGCTATTTGACCAACAAGGAGAGTGATGGAGTGCTACTCCAGATGGCCTGGCCTCCACAGTCACCTGACCTAAACCCAATCAAGATGGTTTGCGATGAGATGGACCACAGAGTGAAGGCAAAAAGGCCAGCAAGTGCTCAGCATCTCTGAGAAGTCCTCCAAGACGGTTGGAAAACCATTTCAGGTGACGGCCTCATGAAGCTCATTGAAAGAATGCCAAGAGTGTGCAAAGCAAAGGGTGGCTATTTTGAAGAATCTACAATATAAAACATGTTTTGAGTCTTTTCACACTTTTTTGTTAATTATATAATTCCATATGTGTTCATTCATAGTTTTGATTTCTTAAGTGAGAATCTACAATGTGAATAGTCATGAAAATAAAGAAAAAACATTAAATGAGAAGGTGTGTCCAAACTTTTGACTGGTAGTTATTTTAGATGGTATTTTGGTTTCTGTTTTGTTTTTTCATACTTAGTAAAAATGGTCTTTCTTTCCAAGTTGTAATTTTTGTCTGTAATTTAAATGGAAACTGGTGTTTTTTAGGTTTTATTTCCACTAACAATGTTTTTTTTAACTTTCCTGCCGTATTACTGTTTCTTTCTTAGCAGATCTCTTAGCATGTAGTACTTTTTTAAAGCAGAGCAGGTGTGCTGTTCTGTTCTTACTTTAGCCTTAGTTCTGTATCTTAGGTGTAGCATCATGGAAAAGTGAAGGAAATTTGATCATATCTGTGACTGAAAGACCGTAACTAATCAACCATGTTTCTAGTGTATTCGTATAGACCTATACACACTGAGTATTTAAATGCTGTGATTCCTTGTGATCATTTTGCATTATGTCAAACTGTCATCTAAAGGGGGATTTGTTTCAGTGGGCTGTCTCTATCACTGTCACTTCTTAAATTCACAGTGAAGCTGCAAAAACTGTTGTTCATGTTTTGACTGACAAATATTGATTGGCACTTGCCTGTGTCACAGTGCGGAGAAAGAATGGGGCGATGGAATACGGGGTCTGTCTCTAAGTGCTGCACGTTACGCTCTCATGCGGTTGGAGGAAGGTCCCCCACACACCAAAAACTGGAGGTATGACACACGTATGCTGTGTTGCTGTACCATGACTCTAATTACCGTAGAAATTAACCACATGTCTGTGCGTGTTCTCATTTATTCACGTAATAGGACCCTTCTTGTCACAGCTGTCGGAGAATCAAGTATTTGTAAATTCATATTAACATCAACCTTTCTTGCTATTTTTTTTCTCTTTCTCTCCTTCCAAACAAGGACTTTTACTTGGCCATCTCAGCCTTTCCTTTCCCCGTGGCTTTATTTGTCTTTTCACAGCTCTTCCTGTTCTTTTCATTTCTCTTCTATTTTTTTTCTACTCCGTCTTATCACTTCCTCTCCTCTCTGATCTCCCTTCTCTTCAGGCCTCAGCTGCTGGTGCTGGTCAGTACAGATGCAGAGCAAAATGTGGAGCAGCCTCGTCTGCTTTCACTGACCAACCAGCTGAAGGCAGGCAAAGGTCTAACTATTGTTGGGACAGCTCTAGGGGGCACGTTCTTGAACAACTATGAACAGGCGCAGCGTGCAGAGCAGGTAATGTTGTAAATGACAGCCTGTACCTCTTCAGTCACTGGAACTTATTAAACTTTTCAGCACAATGCATTGCAACAACAACAGACCAAAATCTGCACTATTGTTGCTAAAATACTAAATCCAGTTACAGAAGCTACTATAAACAGAACTATACGATATTGTGTCACCACAAGTTGATTGCAGTCTCTTAATTATATTTTCCCTGCAGACTTTTCTGCACATCTATCAAAAATCATGTTAAACACTTACATATAGCTTTCAATGTATATTTGTTTCTTCTATATAGCTAATTAAGTATTTGAAAATGTAAAATATGACTCTGGAAGAGCCCATAAACCCCAAAATGTTATTGCAAATATATATTTTTAAATCAAATGAAACATCAAGTCTGACCGTTGCCACCTTCATAGTAAGCGGTGCTTGTTGTGGTAACAGCTCTTTTCTCCGCCTTGCCTCTTGCCTGTCTAGGCACTGCGTAAGCTGATGGAGACAGAGAAGGTGAAGGGCTTCTGTCAGGTGACTGTGTCCTCTAACCTGCGTGATGCTACATCACATCTGCTCCAGGCCAGTGGACTGGGAGGCCTGAAACACAATGCTGTCTTGGTCTCATGGCCACGCAACTGGAAGCAAGGAGACGAGCATCAGCACTGGAGGAACTTCATTGGTTGGTTACTAGGAAGGAAAAAAGAACAAAAATACTGCCAAAAACAAGGGCCCATATATAAAATAAAATCACTGATTGATATCAGCCGTAGCCATTTAGGTTTATCAGAAAACATTCAAAACAAAATCCTGAACAATTTAAAAATGCAGATGCAGTGTAACCAACACATCGTAATCTTTCCATGTCTGCCTGTTCTGCAGAGCTGGTCAGAGAAACTACCGTCGCTAACTTGGCTCTGCTCGTCCCAAAGAACATCTCAGCCTTCCCATCCAACGGCGAACGCTTCACCGAGGGTCACATTGACGTGTGGTGGATCGTCCATGATGGAGGCATGCTGATGCTGCTGCCCTTCCTGCTCCGCCAGCACAAGGTACCCTGCAATAGTTACTACTTAAAGAAATCCATGTGCACTCACAAACATGTAAAGGCAACGTAGAATCTGGATTCACACTATCAGAACCAAATTTCTTACAGATCATATGAACGCTTAATGACATTTTTTTATGTCCATACAGACGTATGAGAAGAGTGAGGAGATGCCTCATATTTTGTTGTTGCTCTGCAGGTTTGGAGGAAGTGCAAGATGCGCATCTTTACTGTGGCCCAGATGGACGACAACAGCATCCAGATGAAAAAGGACCTGACCACATTCCTCTATCACCTCCGTATCGATGCCATGATAGAAGTTGTAGAAATGGTGAGTTAACTCAAAGCAAGATATATGCTTTCTATACAAACGCAATATGAACAGAAGTACTGAGCACTCAGCGACCCTGTTCTGTAACTTTACGCGGTTTAATTTTGTGGCTAAGTCGCAGTGATTCTTAAATGCTTCCACTTTGCATTAACACCACTTGCAGGTGATTGTGGAACACCTACAAGGATTGCAAAAAAATGGCTTGTTGCAACACTGGCATCCTGTTACATTATCACACTCAAATTCACTGAGCTCTTTGGAACAAAGCACAAATGTTTGTAGACTGCATGGCTAGGTGCCTGATTTTATACACCTGTGGCAACGGCACTGAAAACAACTGCAGAGATTACTTTTGTTCATATTGTGTACTTTAATTTCAGTACCTTTCAGGTGGCAACATCATTACAATGTTCAGTAATGCTCAAAGCTTGATTGCTTTAGACTACACAAAGGTAGGCAAAGGTACTGCACGACTGCTGAGATCGTTGCACTACAGAAGCACAGTAAATGGCACAAAGGACAGCATGAAATATGAATATCAGGTGATCGGATATTGTCTGAAGCCTCCTTCCCTAGGTTGTGTTTACTAGAAAAGCAGCACACTGTAAAGCTGAGTGTCGGTCTGGCTTTCCAAAGCCCTTAATTAAGGAATAAGAATTTTATCGCTTGTAATTTAGTGTATAATACTTTTAATGTTTCATGGCAGTAGAGAGAGCCTGTGGTTTGCTTCAACATTTCCTAAGCAAAACCTGCAATTAGGCATTCATGTGCACTATATGAAGTGACTAACCATGTGTGCAGTGGGGAGAAACTAGGCAGCAGTGTAATTTTCTCACACAAGCTTTTTTTCATTCTTCCCTGAGTCAAATTTGTCACTTTTTGTGTGTACAACAATGGGTCCATACCACAAATGTCTTCAAGAAAAGGCTGTCTAAAATTGTCAGTATCTTGCTTGAACTAGTTCTGTTCTAGTATACTTCAGCCTTAACCGTTCACAGGTGAATTTTCTCCTATCTAAGAAAAAAGAAGTAAGCGGTGATTGCATTCTGTCTGAATGTCAAAAGATGAGTCAGAAGAGATGGGGACAGGTTTACACAGGAGAAATGTAGTGGATTTGGATTGCTGTAGTAAGAAAAATATGCATAATAAACCCACACGTTACTTTTTCTTAGCATGACAGTGACATCTCAGCCTACACTTACGAGAAGACCCTGGTGATGGAACAACGCTCGCAGATGCTTAAACAGATCAATCTGACAAAGACTGAACGTGAGAGAGAGGTAAGGAAGTTTGTTTATGCCCAAGTTTTGTTTTGAAACACGCTCAAAGATGCACTCATAAACCTGACGTGACTTGACAGGCCGACTTGGCACAGCTTGGCGTGATTGGACTTGACTTGACTTAACATGACACACCAGCCCCTCTGGACAAAAGCATATCTATGGTTAAATTTGAGCAGTAGGACACCATATTTATCCTTTCTATCAGACCACAGCCGCAGCAGAAACTTTGCTGTTTGACAGCATGATGGTGCTTAGGTTGATATGGTAAATGAAAAATATTGATCTCTGTGTTTCATTAATACCTTTGTTGAACTTGAATTGTCCCTGATCCATAAATGTAATATGTGCCGTGCAATTATATTTGTGCACACAAGTGTACATACACTCATCATGGGCATAAATGGCTAAATGGCGTTTAACTAAATGTAATTTAGCAAATTTTGGCATAATTTTGGCAGGATATGTGACCACTCTTGTAAGCAGAATTAGTAAAGTTCATTTAGATTGGTTGGTTTCGTGGCATGGACTTGTCTTTTAGGCCATACAGTTTCAGTAGGGTTAAGGTACCTTGTGTTATTCATTCCAAAACCAGTTTGGGCATTTGGGATAATTGTCTTGTTGGAATGCACAATTCTTTCCCAGTTTCATCCATCTAGCTGTTGATTTTAGGTGAAGTTGAAAAGTTTAGAGGGAATTCTCCTTTTTCATTAGTCTGTCCTTTTTGTACTATATATAAATACAACTAACAGTAAAACAGCCATGATGCTACCACCACCATGCTTGACAGCTGGTAGAGTGTTCTCAGATTTGAAAGCCTCACCTTTACTCCTATATCTGCATATGTCAAGAAATGCCACGCAGCATCTCTTGATGTCTTTATCTCACGTGACCATAAAACCTTTCTACAGAAAACAATTGGCTTGTCCACGTGGGCAGCACAAATTTCAGTTGAGCTTGAAGGTTTCGATTTTGGAGCAGGGGCTTCTTTCTCAGTCAGTACTCTCTTACTCCATGAAAATGCAAAATTCATTTCACTGGTGTTCCAACAGTTTCCAGTTCATGGTAGGCTTGAGTTTTGGTGGTCCATAGGTTGTACCTGAACATCCTACCCAATTTCTTCTTAAGCGAGAGTGACAATGCGGATCTTCTTGCAGACCTTTGCAAAGTGGTGATAAATAAATAAATAACTTGTTCTTATGTGCAATTGTTTGAACTGACCTTAGCAGCTGAAGCTGTTTAGAAATGGCTCCAAGACACCTTCCTAACTTGTGCAAATGTGCAGTTTCCTTCTTAGATCTTAACTGAAATCCTTGGACTTTCCCATTGTTCTGAGTATTGGGCAATTCCACGGGTGTCAAAGAAATCCTTTTAATGCCAGCAACGTCAATCGTGATCGCTAAAAACTTGACAAAGCCCTGGCACTGTATAATCTTCAGCTTTCATTACTAAATATTTAAGTGAGTGCATGTATATGTTTGAGCATGTATGTACCCTTTTGACCTTGTGTGGATTCAAGAAAATCCAAAATAAATTGAAACGTATGCAGCCAAATTAAAGACTTTACAATCATTCCAGCATGGAAAAAGAGCAGTTCAAAACAATTATTAAAAGGCCCAAGTAATCATGGATAATAAAGGTCTGACCACAACTGTATCTTCACTTTTCTTTAGTTTTTAATAAATTATTATTGCCAGGATCTCAGCAGATTTCAGATTTTTAGGTTCCTGATATGTTTTTTTAAAATAATGTGGTAAAACACTACATATATGTATGTGTGTGTATATGTGTGTATATATATATATATTTATTTATTTATTTATTTATTAGGGGTGCAACGATACTCATCGATATTGAACCGTTCGATACAGTGCTTTCGGTTCGGTACGCATATGTATCGAACAATACAAAATAAATTTTTAATTTATTTTATCAACTTTCCTTCTGACGATGCTGTCTGTGTTGAGCGCTCAGTGGATCTGCGCTCGACAGTGCAGCCTAGGCGGAGTAGTCGAACGCAGATTCACTGAGCGCAGGGCAAGCTAGCGAGACAGAAGTTAAGCTCTCCTTGCAACATGGCAAATTGAACCTCCCCCACCCTCATTCAGATCTGGCGTTTGGAACTATTTTGGTTTTCATGTGACGTATGACCCTGAAGGTAAGCGCGTCATGGACTAAAGTAAAACAGTATGTTGGATGTGCCACGCAATGCTCAATTACATGGGTGGGAGCTAGTGTGTTAGCGCAGTTAGCTCGTTAACGTGTTGGCCGTCCAGCCCCATGCACGGGGCGATCGCGGTAGCTCGTTAACGGAGATTTGCCGTGTTGTGGCGTTAACGTCATTTCAACGAGATTAACGCTGACAGCACTAGTGGGAACACAACGAATATGACTGCACATTTACGCCGACATCATCCTAGTGCAAAGACAAGTGGAAGCAGACAAAAACAACAAGCACACATGCTACAAACTTTACCCGAGTCATTTAGACAGCCGTTAGCACATGATTCTCCTTATGGGGACCTGATATGTTTAATATGCTGCTGAGAATATAGCCCAGAAGAAGCGTATAGTATAGCTTTTATTTTGGAAAGAGACATTTCTCTGTAATAAACTCTCTTTTCCAAAGATGAGTGATTCCTCAATCAGATACAGGGCTTCGCAAAATCGCTAGCCCGACGTCCCGGGGCTAGCGATTTTTCCAGTCGGGCTACCAAAATCTATCTCTGCCCTGCCCGTCGGGCTATTGTAGGAAGGAAAAATATATGTCAATGCTTTTGCATTCTTTCGGAAATGTAGCTGGGTAATTATGTCATTGGCATCGGTGAGCCACTGTCAATATGTGACATATTGAAATCGCGTTTGAATTTGCGCTTGTTTTTTTGCTTTCACTTTGCAATCGCGCGAACTGTGTATAGAGAGCGACAGCACTGATTGGTGAGTGATGATAATTTGGCACCAATTCCTCTGACATCGTCTTATCAATCGTTAGCTTACTATGCAAACATGACAAGTGAAATCTCCCGCAGTAAGCTTAAACATGTGAGAGGTTGATCACGCAGAGAATCGCTGAGCGTTATGTGAGTGCTTGTGTAAAAGCAGCAGGATATATATTGTAGCGGGTCAGGGCTGTTCGGGGTTCTGTTTGTACAGTTATGTTTTGTTTATGTTGCCATAGTGATGGGTGACGCCCTCTCGCTGCGACGGTGTGTCCTTCCGGGGTCAGAGGGCGCCCTGTGTGTTGTTGTTGTTGTTGCTGTGCTGTTGCCGCGCTGAGCAGTTAGCTAGCGGCAGTGTTCTTCTGCAGATGTCAATAAACGGCTGTGCTCCCTGGCTAGCTCACGGGAAGCAAGACCAAACGATACCTCCGTCTCCTCCTTGTCTGAGCTCGCCACATTGGTGTCAGAAGTGGGATGATGGTGGCACCCCATGTTCTGACCCGAGTGACTTTTCCCCCGCCGGTCGTGACCGGCCGGTGCGCCAAAAGAAGGCACCTGGACATTTGCAGGACTTTGTGTGGGGTAATGGGGTCGTCGGGGACGACTGACCCCTTAGGTGGGGGCTATGTAGCGGGTCAGGGCTGTTCGGGGTTCTGTTTGTACAGTTATGTTTTGTTTATGTTGCCATAGTGACGGGTGACGCCCTCTCGCTGCGACGGTGTGTCCTTCCGGGGTCAGAGGGCGCCCTGTGTGTTGTTGTTGTTGTTGTTGCTGTGCTGTTGCCGCGCTGAGCAGTTAGCTAGCGGCAGTGTTCTTCTGCAGATGTCAATAAACGGCTGTGCTCCCTGGCTAGCTCACGGGAAGCAAGACCAAACGACACCTCCGTCTCCTCCTTGTCTGAGCTCGCCACAATATTTTAGTTCTGCTGAGCCAAATAAGACAGGTCAGGGTGAAGAAGTGACAGCCAAAGAAAAGCTTACCACAAAACGGAAAAGTTATGACAAATCAGACTATAAGGCAAAAAGAAAGTGCAGCTTTATGGTTTCATGGACAAAAGAATTTCTGTGGCTGCAATATGACGAGCTAAATAACCAGGGCTGCACATAAGTGGTCCGCAGGTGCGCATTCGCTGTCAAAATAAAAAACGCGCACAAGATAAGAAGTTGCAACGCGTGTTTGCATACATAAGATTTTCAGGAGGAGGACAGACATTTGTTTAGAACTCTTAAAGATGTCGAAGAAGCAACCCTTTAAGCAATTACTGTGATGTTCCTCCACCTCCAAAGAAATGTCAGAAGGAGTCCGAACCACAAAAGAAGCACGTATTCTCGGAAAAGTAGTTGCAGGAGGTGAGCTGGCTTCAAACAAATGATGAACGCACAGAGATGTGGTGCGGAATGTGCCGTGAAAATTTAATAAATGACAAATTAAAAAGGCATGAACATTTTTTTTGTATCGAAAAAATATCGAACCGTGACAGGTATTGTGCGAACCGAACCTTATATATTTGTGTATGTTGTGTGTATGTTATCTTGTATGTTTGTCATAATGATACATATTTTTCCATATATATATATATATATATATATATATATATATATATATTTTAGAAGAAAAAAGAAGCTCAAATCACTCTTTTCATGTTGCCCCTTCATTTGTGTCTCCACAGATCCAGAGCATCACTGATTCATCCCGTGGGTCTATCCGGCGTAAGAACCCGGCTGCTGTAACAACCCAACTAAGTGTGACTGAAGACCCACCTGCTGGCAGCAAGGAGGAGAAGCCCGAGGAAGAGGTAGGATCAACTTCTCCAGCAGCGCTGATCTCAGTTTGGAGCATAACGTTTGTTTTGGTCACAGAATTTTTTTTAAAATTTTTAAAAAGCACCCTAGTGTGTTAAGATTTTTATTATTTAAACAGTGAAATGCAGACTATAGGTAATCAAAGAACAGCAGCATTGAAGCATTCAACTGTCCATGTCTTAAAGGGGCAGTTTGAGATTTTGAATAATACCTTTATAGTGCTTGTATATAAAACTAAAGGAATGGTTTTATATACAAAGGAAAGGAAGCAACCTTTAGCTTAGCACAAATGCGACGCTAACCGCTGCTAGTGGTAGGGTCATGTTTATCATAAAAATATGTGAGTGATAAAGGTATCAAGCATTTTATCTAGCCCTTTGCAAGAAAGCAAGAAAGTATTTTGTTTCATTTTCCAAATATTAATCAAAAGAATCATCTAGAATCATTTGACTGCAGCAAAAAAGATGGATTCCCTTTCTGGTGTTTTCAGTTTTCCGTTGAATTGATCTTATAGCATCTCATAGTATTTTCCTTTGAAGAACATTTGCATAATTTAATAGCCTTTAATATAAATAAAGCAGCATAAGGCTCCCTAATCACACTTCTCCTTCCTCTCCCTTTCTCTAACACTGTGGCTCTCTGTGACTTTACCTGCATTCCTACATTTCCACCTCAATTGTGACTCTTTCAACCTTCCATGTAATGTACATGTAAATCCACATCCGTCCACTTATCCTCTCGTCTCATAGTCAAAGTCGGCCTCTTCCCCTGTGTCCCCCCCTGCCCAGGTTCAGCTCATCCATGACAATACCACCCCGGCCAGCCCTGCAACCCCAGCCACTCCGCTGACCCCTGGAGAGGGGGCTCAGAGCCCAGGGGAGCAGGTCCAAATGACCTGGACTGAGAAGTGTGACGGCGAGCCAGCCAAGCCGCCTGGAGCAGCAACACCAGAGGGCATCAAAGACATCTTCAATATGAAGCCGTGAGTATTTTCCAATGCTTAGGGAACCTTTGGCTGTTATAAAACTGAACTACCCGCTGGTTACTAAGAAAAACAGAGCCTTGAGTCTCTTAATTGTGTTGTTTGCTTTCTTCGAATTATTGTAACACCAGAAATGGCTACTAATATAAGATTTAGGCTTGCATGCGGGAGAAATGAACTTCACTAAAGACATGAACAGTTTAGCACTGATAATGGTGTATTTCTCCTTTTGCCATGCTGCAGTGAGTGGGAGAACCTGTAAGTACTGAAGTCTCAATAAACGTCATTCAGTCCACTCATGTTTTATAACGTTCAACTCAACCACGTGAGCAGATGACAATCATTTAAAAAAAAATGTGTGACTGAGCGCCATGTCACCCATGTCTCCACTTGGCATCACAAAATGTCTGGATGCTAATCAACATGGATATATTTTGACTTGCTCTCTGTGACTTTGTCTATTCTCAGGAACCATTCCAATGTGCGACGTATGCATACAGCTCTCCGGCTGAATGAGGTCATTGTTAAAAAGTCTTCAGAGGCCAAGCTAGTCCTCCTCAACATGCCAGGGCCACCCAGGAACCGGACAGGTGATGAAAACTGTATCCTTTACCCAAACAGTAGGTTTACTGAATGGGGTCTCTAATATATAGGTGACAGAGGTGCCAAACACAACTAATCAGCTTTGACAGTTTGGAGTTGCATTTGGATGTCGGCTAACTGGTGAGAAAGAGATTAGAATATATAACATATATATGAGTTTGCATATGAGCTTATATAGATTCACCAGTTACTTTGTTATGTACACTTGTTTAGCTGCTTGTTATTGCAAATATATAATCAGCCAGTCACAGGGCAGCAGATCGCTTCATTAAGCCATGTAGACATGGTCAAGACAGCCTGCTAATGTTCATACTGAGCAATGGGGATGATAAGTGATTTAAGTGATTTTAAATGTAGCATGGTTGTTGGTGCCAATTAGGCTGGTCTATTGCTGGTCTATTGCCAAATAGGCTAGTCTGAGTATTTCAGACACTGCCAATCTTCTGGGACTTTCCATCTTTAGGGTTTACAGACGATGGCCTGGAAAACAGAAAACATCTCTGGGCCAAAATACCTTGTTGAGGTCAGAGGTCAGAAGAGAATGGTTAGATGGGCAGAAGACCACACCAGATGCCACTGCTGTTAGCTAAGAACAGAAAACTGAGGCTATAGTTCACAAAGGCTCACTGAAACAACAGAAGATTGTCTGATGAGCCTGGATATGTGCTGCGACATTCAGCTGATAGGGTCAGAATTTGGCCACTTCAGGTTGGGGATGGTGGTTTAATGGTGTGGAGGATATTTTCCTGGTACACTTTTGGCCTCTTGGTATCGAATGAACACCACTTAAATGTTGCTCACCATGTGTGTCCCTTTATGACAAAAGTGCACTCATCTTCAAGCAGGATAACACACCGTGTCACAAAGTTCAAATATCCCAAACTGGGTTCTCGAACATGTCAGTGAGTTCTCTGTACCCAGATGGCCTCCAGAGTTACCAGATATCAATCCAATAAAGAACATTTAGTATGTGGTCGAACAACTGTGTGATGCTATCATGTCAGTACAGCTCTCTGAGAAATGTCTCAGCTGAATCTATGCACAAAGAATTAAGGCAACTCTGAAGGCAAAAAGGGGGTTCCTACCTACTAGTAAAGTGTAAGTAATAAAGTGGCCAGTGAGTGTATAAGAATACTGTGTCATGGATGTGTAAGACAGTGTTTTATACATCTGTAAAGGTTCAGTTTCAAATTATAATTAAGTCTTCAAATGTTTAAATATAAATGATAAAATGCTTCTGAAATAAAATTCTGATTGTGTTAAACTTTGTTTATCAATCCACACACAATCATATTGAGTTTGGGCCTCGAGCCTCTATGTAACTTTGTGAAAGATTGTGTGTTAAAGCAATCAACAGAGGGTTTGGGTCAGTAAGTTAATTGTCTTGATTTCAGGAACAGTAATAATTTGTTATCAGAAACATTCTGTTTAATGGGTCTCTAAAGATCTAATTAGGATTTCAAAGCACAAACCATTATTGCAGAAATCAGAGAACTTTATAACTAATTTTTTCAGGCTTTAGTTTTATGTTTTATGTTTTTATTTTGTTTGTTTTTTTACAGTATATGAACCTAATTATGAAATATTTTTCTGGCAGTGTCCTTGCTTTGTTTACAACAATTTAAGCCATGAAGTCCAAGGAAACTGCTTGTAGACCTTTGTCATAAAAGTCAGGAAATGGGTATAAAAGCTTTGGGTATTTTCAGTAGCACTGTAAATTCAAAAATAGGAAAATGGAAGAAGCCAGAAATCACTCCACCTAGATCTGATCATTCAGCCAAGCTTAGTACCAGACACCAGGAGATAACAAAAAGCCCAGCAGTCACTCTAACAGAGCTTCAGAAGTCCTTTCTACAGATGGAAGAACCTGCCAGAAAGACCACAATGTCATGAGCACTTCATCATTTGGACCTTTTGGGTTCGAGCAGCTAGACAGAAGCGAGTCTGACAACCTACTTGAAGTTTGTCAAACTGCATTTAAAGCCCTCTGACAGCATTAGGAAAAAGCTCCTCTGACAAGTCAAAAAGCGAACTCTTTGAATAGCACCAAAATCTTTTTAGAAGCAAGACGACAGTCATCTTTTGGACAGTTTTTTTCAAAGCCCATCTCAATGAATATATGGAGCAAACTATGATATAACACGAGTACGGTGCTTTAGTGGCTGCAGAACAAATCTGTGACTTCTCTTTACAAAACAGACAGACAGCTGCTTACAGATGCTTTCCATCCAGTCCGTCAGAACCCAAACAAATGCCAGGAAGAAAGTGATAAACGTTCCAAGTGTAGATGCCCGAGGCCTGTAAAACTGTACCTCCGAAAAACCTGGTTTCAGGTTTTCGAGGTTTCATTTTCTCATTATAGGTCATTAAGTGTAAAGTGAGCATCACAGAGCAAAAGGGGAACATTGTGAAGTGAGTGTATGAGCTGTTTCCTTAATCATTCTCTCCCAGATATGGAGTTTCTTGAGGTCCTCACTGAGGGCCTGAACCGAGTCCTCCTAGTCCGTGGAGGTGGTCGCGAGGTCATCACTATCTACTCCTGAAAGAGCAAACCCCCTCCCCTCATTATCACCCCTCTCTCAGCCCTGCTCCTGTGTCACTCGTACCCAAACCCTCTCATCAATGCTGCACCATTATTATATCATTCTTACAGTTTATTTCTATGACATAGTCCTCTCACACTCAACCAAATAACCCAGCTCAGCTTCAGCACCTCTCCGCCAGCTCCAACCCCAGCAAACCAACAAGCAGTATTAAACACTAAGCTACTCTCACTCCAGGCAAAAAAGCTGCTATAAATAGTATAGGCTCTAGACTGAATTAGATGCTATCAACATTTGTTCTTGGAGACGTTTTTTGCTTTGCAAGATTGAAGTCTGCTACAGAAACTCGCACTGAGTCGCAGTGACTCGGTCAGGAGGAGGTGGTGATGGGGTCTGCATGGGTTGTTAGCTGAGGTGTGAGCACACATGCATGTATGTGTCTCTTTGCTTTAATCTAGGTAGATTTTATTTATTTTTTTTCCCCTGTTCGAACACAAATGTGGCAAAGACACGGCTTCTCCACGGAGAGATCGAGAGCCAGATGAAATGAGATCAATGTAGGATTGTCTATTCGGTTCCCTCGTGGTGATCGGACACTTCCCACAGCGTTCCAGCCTGCTGTCTACGATGTGAATAACCGTTCAAGGCAAAAGACACTTCTACCCACAGTCAGTGTCACCTGCTAGAGGACGTATGTATGAGTAATTCACAATGGCATTTGAAAAAAGTGAAATGGCATGTGGATCAGACTTGCAGTATTATCTTTAAATTGATGCTCCACTCGTTCTGTTGATTCCATCACCTACACTCCTTTCAGCTCATTTCTTAGTGGCTGTTCATCCCTGTGGCCACTGTTAGTGCCAAAAAATACAAGGCTAGCTTAGTTTGTCGAGATTGACCCACAATTAAACTGTGAATAGCAGAAGCCTGGTGTGACAGCGGAGTGGGGAGAGATGACAAAGCCCCCTCTGAGGAGATTATCAGCGCCAGCACCCCTCGACCTCTCGTGTGGATCACTGTAAATAATGTACAAGCTCTGACGCGTTGTTCAGTATGAGTGTAGTATTTTTGTGACATACTAAAAAGATTCTAATGGAAAGGAAAAACAGAGACAGCTTAAAACAGCTGCTTTAAAAAAAGGTTATTTATTTATTTATTTATTTATTGGATTTATTTATTGGATGGCATAGGCTCCTTTCACTATGATAAGCGTCATTGTAACCTCGACAAAGCACTGCACCTGCACTGTCCACCACTGTGCGACGAGTGAAATTTTGATGATTTCATCAAGTTCATTAAGAAAAAGAAAAATACTAAATGTTATTTTTTCATGTAGAGAACAAATATGTATTTACGTTTGTAGACTGAATTTACACATATTGATGAAATAGCTGTATATCATCGTGGCATTCATAGCTCTGCCACTGTTTTGCCAAACTTCAATACATTAAATGTGCCATATCGAAGTTTTTTCAGAGAAGTGGTAAACAAAATTCTGACAATTCAAGTTAGAGAGAACAAAGTGTCATAAAAAAAAAAGGTAAAAGGACGCGTCTATGGGAAACTAGCATGGTGATGACACTGTAGTTGGAACTTCACCCTATAGATAATTAAAGAATACATGTTCAGCCCTCCATAAAACGTCCAGCTGTTGTCGATATCTGCTCTTGCCGAGTTGAGTTTTTGAACATCTATTGGTTATTTGTTTATAGGGTCTAGCCTAAATAAATAGAGAGGACAATGGCTTCTGTAGCTACTCACTTTGTCCACAAGAATGAACTCTATGCAGTAGACTACTCTCCAGTGAGATTTTCTATCCTATTTGATTGGTTGTGAACAAATCATATTTACGTTTGAAGAAGAGTGCATTTTTGAAGGAATGTGCAATGGTTGAAATCTGGACTCACGTGATCACGTTATTTATTTTTTTACACATATATTTTGTATATGTAGATTTCGTAAGTCTTATAAAATCCAAAATCATCTCACTCTGACCAAGGACAGCTGTCACTTTACTTTGATTGCTCCTGTTTCTTTTCTTAAAGAAACTGTTTTTGGTCATTTGCACTTCTAGTAGAAATATACAGTAAATATAAATAAACATATATATATATATATATATAAAAATATATATATACAGTATATACGATATAGGGAAGCAAAATAAAGTAAATATAAATAAACATATATATATATATATATATAAAAATATATATATACAGTATATACGATATAGGGAAGCAAAACAAATTAGTTTCTAGAACTATTTACAAACAGTATTAAATGTTTTTAGTGTTGCTTGAATGTCGGACCATATGTTGTGAATGCTGCTAGTATCTATAGATTTATTTGTACTGTAAATAGAGATGAGATAAATCAACATTAAAGATATAGTAAAAAGGGTATAGACATACATATCAGCGGTGGTAGCGGTGGTTATCTAACAAGACACGGCTGTACCTGTACACATTTGGCCCGTGATCTCTCGACAGGGTTAGCTTTCTGTTTTATTAGAAAACTATACTGAATATCTTGATGCAATATTATAACTGAGGGCAAAACCGTTACCCTTTATTGTCTTTTCTAAAACGTGCTCTCGAAATTACTATTTTTAATCCCCTGAGTAAAGCAAACCAGTTTTCGGGGAACACGTTTTCTGTTTAGCGCTTTTAAAGAAACCGAGTGGAATTGCCAAAACATTAAAACATGAATATTTGTTTTGAGACTTTTAAACACACCTACCTGTGACACCTGAAGACAAGTAGCCCACTCCTAGTTTCAAAGATTTCTCTGTGCCAAGTGATGAAGAATTTATTTATTATGCTTGTCACAAAAAAGGGGGGAGGGGGTTGTTTGACACTCACCTGTTTTTGAAGAACATGGTTATTTTGGGATTGTCTCTACAACATTGCCTGCATCAACTGAGCCTTTTAAATTTATTCAAAAGAAAAGATATCTGATGTTTATTGGAGAAGTTTATTGGAAATAAATTTAGTTATGGAATTATAAATGTTTTATAATTGCTGTTTGCATGGTACCATGTGGCAATATTTGTTTTAGTGATTTTATATCGTGATGACTTACATGTTTTAAGGTGCAGAGTCGGAGTGGTGGAGAAAGGTGTCAAACATTCTCAATGAGTTTCCGATTTTGAGAACTCAGGAGTGTTGCCGCACAGTCGGCAGCATGGTTTAACATTGAAAATAAGTTTTTTTTTTGCAAAAAAACTCAAACAAAAAACAAAAACAAAATAGGAAAAAGTATGAGTTCACTATATTGTTAATCGTTATATTTCAATCTCGCTCAAGTAGTCTTATGTAATGTGATAGAAGATTTTGAGTTTGCAAATAGACGAGCCTTGGGAATAGTCATTTCACATTTTTGTAAATATGAATATCACAAATCAAGAACACTGTAATCTGCTAGTGTTGTCTTTTGTTGTACACTGTTCTATCACTGTGGGCAAAGTCTTAGAGTTTTGTAAGATTATGTGCAATATTGTTCTCATATTGGTATTTTTTTCCCATTTTGTCATAATTTCAGTTTATATAAATAACTGGAGATGTCAGCAGTCTCTTAAATTTTTAGAGTGTTTGTCACCAGGTCTTTTGGACCAGAAAAACCTAAAGTGTTTAACCAAAATGTGGCAGAGGCAGCACAGCACTTTACACTGAGGGGCACTCTGTGATAGAGGGGTCGGATGGCAAAAGAGCCAGCCCGCTCTGCACAGACTCTGTCCCACAGTGATCCCTGGTGGCACAAGAGTGTATTTACAGCCAGCTCTGGCGGTCTGACAGCTCAGACTAAAAAGAATAAATAAATATCATGAAATCCCATCATCTTGCTGCGGTTCCCAGCTGCAACAGTTCAGATTATTAATTTTGTTACATCTTATCATTTGACCGTTTTCTTGGACATTTTTAGCATGCATCACTTTTTTCTTTCCTTTTTTTCCTTGCCAAACTTCTTTAAAAGAATAATAGTAACTGTTAAATTTCTAGTGCTTGTCACTCAATCTGTGAGGTGAGCCTTCCCAGAATTCCCCCTCAACCCCACTGCTCAGCCCTTCTGCCCCAGCTCCCTGGTCTCCCCCATCCCAACCACGAAAATCCACCCCAGCTCTGTATTTTAAATGTGACTGCAGTATAATTCTGAGAAATGATCAAAGAATATAAAACTCGCGCTTCCAAACCTGGTACAGGCTCTGCTTGGACAAGGTGCGATAGTCGATTTAAAAACCAGCACGTCCCTCTCCCCCCTGAACTGATCCGTGATTTAGATCAGATCTTTCACCTGCACAACTGTAGCATGAGGCAAACTTGCCAGTGATCATTACCCAGTCTCCATCCTAAAATGGATATTAAGGGCTCTGAAACACATCTGTTACTGGGTTGAGGAGGCTGTCGTGTTAAGACACCAACAGAGAAGTACAAAACTAATCCCAGATTATTGCAGACGGGGGCACACAGTCTGTAGCTGAAATAAGATCCTACCCCCTCAATATTATCTTCACAGAAGCATCAGATGTGCCTGATATGGAAGGTAATGCAACAGCTGCACTTACATTTCACACAGTCGATCTCTCTGGGAGTCAGATGAGAAAAACTCAAGCGGCTATTCATGCAGTGCAAGCAGAGCCCCACTCCGGTTATGTTGTGTAACTCAGTGCATGCATGCAACTACCCCGAACAAGGTGTTTTGAAAATATATTGGGTGTTTGTGGTATAAAAGTATTTTGTTTATATCAGACACTTTTGTTTGTAGTAGTAGAATATTTTTCCTTAGCACTGGCCCATTGTATCCCAGGATGAATATTATTCTAGTATGAGATTCTATTTTTTATGGTAGATCTGTTGACATGGTCCTCTCATTGTGTCTAATAGCTGGAGATGAAGTGATTACCAAAGTATATTTCAGTTAACTACATAAATGAGTGTGAAAATGTGTGCTCCAGTGAATTAGATGAAGACATGTGCAAATTGTTTACCTTCTTATCAAAATTTGTAGCAAATGTCACTCCCCTGAGAATACTGTTTCAACAAGGTAAAACAAAGAACACTGGACGTGCCAAGGTATTATAGGAGACGCCTGCTAATTTTTATTTTTAAATGTTTGAAAAAGCAGTAAGTCTGCTGCCTGTCCAAAACTGGCGATGTACCTCTTTTCAGTCACCAGTTTTGGTTTTATTCAGTGTATTGTTAGAAGTATTTCCAACTACCAAAACGGATTTGCTATTTAGGCTTTCAAATGACCTTAAGAGGACAAGTTGTGCATTTTGGGAAGGGCACAGGTATTGGTTTATTGCATTTTGTGCAATAAACCAATTACGGCTTTATCAAAAGGTATATCCATCTACCAGCATCTCTGAAGCTCAAAACTAACACGCATCTAGTTTCCGTGATTGCCACTTCAAACAAGGCTTAAAAACATCATTTGTGAAGTTGCTGGTCTTGACTAAGAAAGAGCAGAGTATGTAATCTGTCATTACAAACTTTGTTTTTCTGTACAGTTTAAATAAGGGGTATACACAAGTACTGAGCTTTAACAAATGCCCAGTTTCATTTGAACGATTCAGATATTGGAGATTTGAGTTTTTCTGCTACGGACTCTTATCATTCAACTTTCATTTAATGGATATTTCCCAAAATGAATCATTCCTTAATAATTGAGGGCTTTAACAAAAAAAACAAAAAAAAAAAAAGTAACCAGTACCATAACCCTGCCGCTGTCCAGACTTGTTTTGAAATTCACTGGACTTGTGGGAAACACTTTGTATGGATGCTTGGAGAAAAAAAAAAGAAAAAAAAAAAAAATGCACTGGATGTAGAGGATGTAGACAGCATACACACAAAGACACAGCTGTATCTAATTCAACAATATTGAAACATTGTTTCATTCTGAACCGTTCTCTACTTCCTTGATACCGTACCTGGTCTTATGGTAAAGCCGTAGTGTGTTCCTTTCAGTTCTGTGGGAGTGTGTTTGTGTGTACATGTGCACTTGTACCTGCTGGGGGCGGGGGGTGGTCATGGGCGAGGGTGGGAGGGGGCTACGTGTAAATAAAATACAGTTAGTGTGGAGGTGTTTATTTTTTTGTGTCAGTGCAAGTTAAATATTCTAAAACAAAAAAAAAAAAAAAAGAGAAAAGACCTGTATTATTCTCTATTGTGGTTCATGGTACATTTAAAAGAAAAAATAAAGAGGAAAAAGTAGTTTTATCTTACATTTCAAATGCTTATCTCTATGGCTTCTGGCGATACCCGTTCCATTTTATAGATTTGTCAGCACAAAATGCAATAAACCAATACCATTTTATTACAGGAATTGTGTCCGAGTTTTTAATTATGTCTTGTTTTGTTCATGAAAAAACAAAAAAAACAAAACAATGTTACAAATTAAAAGACTGTAAAACTATAAGACAATAGTTGGAAAAGAACTGAGAATTCCATCTGTAAGCAAAATGTACTTCATAACGAGACTGAATAATTATTTTCTGGCAAACAGCTGCAAAAAAGTCTTCACATTTTATGAACAATGGAGGAAAAGAGATTAAAAGGTTTTACAAAAACATCCCTACAGTCTACTGATACTAAGCAAGAAAACTCACTGCACAGGAAAGTTTATGGCATCTGAGGGGAAAAAAATAAAATGGAAAAAAAAATTCAGGGTTCTACAGCTTTTCAGTAGTGTCGGGGGTACATAGACACAGGTGGGGCCTGACCCATGCTGGGTGCTGGTCTTGGGGCTTGCTGCTGAGAGGCCCCACTACTCACCAGATGGTTGAGAGAGGGTCCACTCTGAATGAGTGTGTCCAGAGCTTTCTGGACACTCGGGTTGTCAAAATTGATGCCTGAAGCAGAGGTGGGGGGTCTCTGAACACTGGTGGCAACTGGCATTCGGCCTGGAGGGTTTGCGTACCCCTGAGATGCAGATGCAGGAGGACCTGGCATTGGTGGGCGGGATGGGTTTTGGGAAGGAGACTGGCCAAGAGATCCATATGAGTGTGACTGTGAGGGTGCAGAGGGGAGGCCAGTAGTGCCTGTTAACTGCCCACTGCCACTGTTGAACAGACTGAGGATTTTAGCCTGCAGCTCCTGCTGGTGACTGGGATTAGCCGAG